GCTTGCCTGCCCGCCGCCGCTGCTGCCAAAAGTCCCAGCGCCGCTGCAACCGCCGCGTTTCCAGCGTCTGCACACCTACGGTCCCGGAGCCGCGCACCGACTGTCGCCGCTTTGGGTGGGGGGGGGCGACCTGCGCTTGGAGTGCCCGCAGCTTCTTTGCTACCCAGCTCATCCTACCTGCACTGCCGTGGTGAGACAATTCCGGCTACCCCAGCTTATAGGGGAAAATATAATCCAGCCATTCGGGCATACCCCTCCCCTCTGCTTCCCTCACGTGAATAAGATGTGTAACTAAGGTGTACCCATATATGTTTAATGTGTTGTAATCACTCCTTTTGAACCTCCTGCCCCAAATTGCTTTGTTTTCCCCACAATAAACCTTGCTGTTGTTAGAAATTTAGTAAGCACTGAGCGAGTTATTCACTCAAAAAAGTCGGGACATAAGTTCCTGTATCCTCTGTGTGAGGCGATACCCACGTGTGGATCTCTCAGCAAATCCTGATAAGTTAATACACTCCAATAAGGAGACATAATAGGTCACAGATCGTGACACTAGGTCCCAGTGAGGAGGCAGCAGATGTCCAACCACCAGAAGGGGGTCTAGCACCCCACAGAGACCATCAGTAGCTAAAGCTGCCTGGGCAACATTTAATCAATTTTCAGACTGAACATATGGGGGCCTGATAAAAATTCAAGCAGTGCCAGGTAATCCCTGCTTTTAGGATTGGTGGGTTTGGGATGTTCTGTTTAACCTCTGATCCTCACCACAACCTGAAGCTGTGCTCCAGCTACTCCTCAACTTGACCAGTAGGTGACCAAATACAGATTTTTGTTGCCAGGCTCTGAGAACTTTTCCCCACCAGGGTCACATTTTAATACTTAATGCAACCCCTTGTACCATGCCATGAGTTCCCCCATGTTGAAACCAGCTTTCTTCTGGACTCACAGCACCCTCTTCAAGATATCTTCAGACTGAGGGGCTGAGGTTGACCCCTCATTGATGCTGGTTGACCAACCATCCCATGGGACAAACTGCACCCAATCCTCTCCCTTCCATCACTTTAAGAGCTATAATTACAAAACCTGTACTACTCAGAGGATTTGGATACTAAGGGCTTGAGCTGGACTTCTTTTGAACCCACAATGAACTTCAAACATACTCAAGATCAAGTTGTGCTCTGGAAGGTTTTTCACTGAGCCCCTCCTGGGTTTGGGCTTCCAAATTAAGATACTTTCTCAGGTGAAGACCCATGGTCCCCACTGCTGCCACAGGTAGGAAACTTGTTGTTTCTGACTGAGGAAGCCCAAACCAACATCCTAGCAACATAGGAAAGGAGCCTCTTCAGGGAACTCTGCTGCTAAGGAAAGGTAAGAGATGGCTAGAAAAGCCACTTGCCTGTAATTCTGCCTATTGTCCCACAGACATGGTTACCAGCAAAGCCAGCGACATGGGCACCAAGGCTGTACCCAATCAGGTAGACATTCTCAAGCTTGAAGTTTGGGTTTTCCTGCAAGGATGAAAAAGAAAAGAGGACCATTTGTCCCTCTGTCTTTCAGAGCATCTGGCACTGCTCCTATCCAGGATAGTCACAGAATCATAGTGGTTGGAAAGAACCTCTAAGATGACCAAGTCCAACCATCAACACAAAAAAAACCCAACCACAACCTTGGCCACTGGAGCATGTCCTGAATTATCAATCCTAAGAAGAGATTTGAGGGATGGGACAGACTAGCATGTTTTGTTCTTTCTTTCATCCAGACAAGTGGATTCCAAGTGGAATGGTTTGGGTGGCACTTGTGGTTTGCCCCCAACCACAATACTCAGCTCCCAACCCCAGTGAGGACGTTCCTGATCTGAGCAGCATCTGGAGCAGCCTTTCCCCAGGGAGCTGCCCTCTGTCCATGGCCTCCAGTGCCAGGTGTAGCACTGTAGGCCTTCTCCTGTTCCATGCTCTTGCCAAGCCAACTCTGACAGGGAATGCCCAACTCCTGAGTCGCTGGGACAGGAGGAAGGACTCCTCAACCTGACATCTCCCAGGAAATTGCTCCACGTGAGGCCTGGGGAACAGCACCTTCCCTGGGATCCACCACCCCACCAGGCCTCAGGACTGGGATTACACCAGGGTGTTGGGGCTGGCATGTGCTCCCACTCCTTGTGCGACCATCCCTGGTGGAGAGAGTTACCACAGCACCCGCCCACCCCCTGCCTCACCTGCAGCCAGTCCAGCAGCCTCCCAATGCTCTTCCCAACCACTCACATGTTGTTCACAGTGTCGGTGTACAGCTGGTGGGCCAGGGGCAGCCAGTCCACCACCACCACCACGTTGGCATCCTTCTCCCTCTCCTGGAGAGCAGACACCAGGCTGCCTAGCCAGGTCTCAAACATGCCGCTCATCTGGAGGAGGAGGTGCGGGTGGTAGTTTCCAGAACAGCAGTGACACTGTTCCCCACTTGGGCTGTTTGCATATCCCTCCCCAGCTCCTCTGGTTCTCAGCACTGCACTAATGGTGTCAGAAGAACAGGATTTGGGAGTAATGAGCCACTTTGCCTTTTAAGGCAGGAGGGAGAGGCATATGCTCCATGTCACCTTATCACTCTTGTGCTCAAGGGATTCAGAAGTTCTGATGGGATGGCAAAGTTATTTCCATATATATATATTATTATTCTGCCACCACCACCTGCAGAAGCCCTGGGAGAGCTGCTGAGTCACCTACTTGGCCACATGAAGTGCAGAAGAAGAAAGTGATAGAGTCTGCCTGCCCTCTGTGGCACAAAGATGAAGTGACAGGAAGCCCATGTGCATGTCACACCAAGTGCCACCTTCATAGGGGTCAGTTACAGGGTCATGGGATGGTTTGAAGGAACCTTAAAGATCATCCAGCTCCAACCCCCTTCATGGGAAGGGACAAATCCCACTAGAGGAGGTTGCTCCAAGCCCAAATCTCACATGCCCTTTACCAGGGTCCCATTATCCAGCTCTAAAGTCATCTTGAGCAGCTGGGCATGAGTTGGGGGCTTCTCAGAGTTAAGTACAGTTAACTTTGCCCCAGAGGCCTCAGGGGCAGCTCCTGAAAGGCCATAGTGCTCCAAACATGCAAAGCTGTCCCAAATTCCACATCCTAGAGAGTTGGGTTGTTCATCCTGGAGAAGAAAAGGCTCCAGGGAAACCTTAGAACACCTTCCAGTGCCTGAAGGGGCTCCAGGAAAGCTGGGGAGGGACTTGGGACAAGGGCAGGGAGGGAGAGGACAAGGGGGAATGGATTAAAACTGGAAGAGGGGAGATTGAGGTGAGACATGAGGAGGAAATTCTTTGCTGTGAGGGTGGTG